ATTGTGGGTGTGTTTTAATTTTCATCTCCCTGATTGCTAGTGATTATGAGCATTTTTCATGTTTGTTAACCATTTGTACTTCATTTTTGGTGAACTGTCTATTCATGTCTGTATTAGTCTAGGTACTTGGAGAAACAAATCCACAGCAACTCTTGTATAAGAGAGTTTTATGTAAAGAAAATGTGCATCACAAAAACATCCCAACCCAATGCTGCCCAAGCCCACAAGTCCAACATTAACCCATACCCAACACCAGTCCACAAAGTCCTTCACCTCACAAAACAGAGGCAATAATGCCGACTGCAGGAGGAAAGCTGAGTCAGTGAACGAACAAGCATCTCAGCACTGGCAGGGGTCTCCACATGGCTGCTCCAGCACCCAGGGCTGCATCGGGATAGGTCCATGTAGCTTCTCCTTGGGGATGTCTTGTAGGAAGTCAGTCTTGCAAGCTGAAGCAGGGCAGCTAAGGCAGCTGCACCCGGTGCAACCATCACAAAGCAAGAGACCCGAGAACTAGAAAGGCGAGGCTTCACCACCCATTTATCCCTCCGCCTTTCAACCAGCCCCACATGTGATTATTGGCCAGGCTGGCGCAATTAACTAACTCAATGTCTTTTTCCCATTTCTTAATTGGGTCTCTTATTACAGTATTTTCTTATTGAACTATTGTAGAGTTCTGTATATCTTGGTAATTAGCCTTTGTCTAATGTACCGATGGTAAAAATTGTTTTCCAATCTGTGAGCTCTTGTTCCTCTCTCCTGATTAAGTCTTTTGATGTACGTAATTGATGTTATTTCAATATGTCTCTGTCATCTAGCTTGTATTCTACTGAGTGTGTGTCCTCTATTATACATGGTAGTCTATGTATACCCTGAAATAGGGCCCCTAAGTTTGTTTCAACCTTCGCATTGATGATTCTGGGAGCTTTGGGATTTGCAATTAGGTTTTTAATCCACCTTGAGTTCTTTTTTGTGCATTAGGAAAGGTATGGGTTTTGTTTCATTTTTCTACACATGGAAATCCAGTGTGTGAACACTCCTGCTTGTTTTCTGTCGCTTTATTGTATGCTTTTTTGCTGTTTGTTTATTTTTCTTGTTTCAACCAATGGAAGAGAACAACCATTCCCATATGGAAAAGCCTCACCGGAACCTATGTTATTTCTGTCTACTGGGTGACATTTACTACCCATTCCTGTACCAACACATTATCAGTAGACAATAGCCAAACCTACTGTCAACAGTGCTACACAAATAGAAGTGTACATGCACTTACATTTTTTATCATACTATCAGGACACCGGTAATTAGTGCCTAAGAACACACCAACATCATCATTAAACATCAATTAAGTACACATGGAACACCACAACAATGCCTTAGAGATAAAAGGCAATTTCATTTCACAAAAAGAAACAAGCTAGAGTAGCTCAAAGTAGTAACCAAAACATAGAGCTGAGAGACAGTTCTGGAACAATATGACATTGGAATTACCTAATTAGAAATGCAGAGAATGATATGTAGGTACTTTGAAGGTGGGGGAAGCCAGCCCCCACAACTGATCATGGGTTCAGTAGGCGCAATTGTATGGTTAAAATATATATGTATAGATTATAGTAAAGTCAGAGAAATGGGAGAGATGGAGTAAAATAAAGGAGTCAGATACATTTCATGGTAGCATGCTCACTTCCTGTACGGCTATCATCTCAACAGCCAGGCAGAAAGGGCAGGAGAGAGTCTCTATTACTAACCAAGGCTTATATATCTTTGGGGGCATGCATGCCCCCTAATTACAGGTAAAGACATATGTTACAAGAATGGGCTGTACAATAGGCATACACATCACAGGAAGGGGAAGGACTAAGGGTATACATGTGACAAGGGAGGACCCTAGACTCAATGTGGTAGCCTAATCTTTGGTACCCCTGAGTGGGCTTGGCCCCCCTGGGCTCTCCTTCAGAGACGGTCTACTATCCTTATCAGAAGGGAGTGGGCCTTACTTAAGGTGTGACAGACTATGCAGTCTGATTGCTCTAGATGGCTGATAACCCTTAGGGAGAATAACCTCTGACCTACTTTTGTGACCTCCAAGTGTATAATCATTTACCATGTGTAGCAAGCAGCCAAGTTTGGCTTATATTTAGGGGAGACAACTTGGGAGTAATCTTTCTGTTTCCCACATAGGTACTTTGAATGGTTTGAGAGAAAGATAAGTAAAGTCAGGGAAATCAAAGAAAACACAGAGGAAAAAACTTTAGAAAGAACAAGAAAACTATACAAGAAAAAGCTGACATTATAAATGAAAAATTAGAAACTACACAAAAATCTAAACGCAAAATAATAAGATTTCAAAAATAATTACTGCATCAAAAGAGCAAAGAAGTAGAACTCAATCAATGAAACACCAAAATAGTGCACTCAAATCAATCTCTCAGTAGTAATCTGCTGAAATTAGGAGTGAAGCCAGATATCTAAAGAAGTCTATGAATTCTGTGGGACAATAACAAGAAGTGCAGCTTACCTGTGTTTGAAATTCTAGAACTGCAGCATAGTAAAAAGCACAGAGTAAAGTGTAGAAAGGTTTCTGCAAGAAAACTTCCCTCATACTATGAATTAAGAGAATAGATGTATTTTAAAAGCTGAACAAACCACAAGATAGTTACTTAAAGAGGGGAAAGTTAACTATAGTGGCAAACCAGTAAAACAAAATTCTTATTTCCAAACATAAATCATCAAGAGGGCAATGGGGAAGACATAGAAAAATGGGAAGAAAAAAATTGCCACCAAAGAAGGAAACGCCCAACAAAATTGTCCTTCAAATACTGCAGCATAATTGAAAACATTATGTGGCATTTGGCATAGCATAGTCTAAAAAGTCTTTATTCTACTTGGATGAGTAGCATCTGAGGTTATCAAAGCTTGTTAGCTATGTAAAGTGCAACTATTGTTTTTTCCTCATCTGAAGGAAAGAAGAGTGAACAAAATTAAGGCCTATCAAGCTATAATGATGTGGTAGTTACATAATTTCATGTCAACTTGTTAAATAAGTTATAGGGGTGAAGTCTAGCCTGTCAATCGGGTCATGCCTCTGTGTGGGCATATCCTGAGGATTCTGTCTCCTGGGAACTCCTGTCTTCCTCCCTGGAGGCAGGACACACTCTCTGCTTGACAGTCCACATGGAGCTGAGAAGCCACATGGAGCTACACTGATGGAGCTAGAGCCCTGGACCTGGACGAGCCACGTGAAGACCCATGCCAGTACTGAGATGCTTATACCACAACTGGATTCACAAGACTTTCTATCCACTGGCCTGTGATCTTCCTGCATTCGGCATCATTGCATGTGTTGCATGAGTCTGAAGAAGACTTTATATATTGGTATTGAACATATGATGGGCTAATTTCAGACTTATGGACTTGATCTGGGATGTTTTCTCAATATTCAATTGCTCTTGTATATAAAGCTCTTTCTTATACACATGAGTGTCATGAATTTGTTTCTTTAGTCAACCCAGGCTAACATAAATGATAAGTGCAAGAATGAAGTAAATGTTCCAAAATTGGTGATGATTGTACATCTCTTCTTGATTTGATTGAATTATTGAATTGCATAAGATGTTAATTTTATGACAATAAAGCTGTTGGGGGCAGGGAAAGAGCTATGGGAACAATTAATATAAAGGACTAATGGACCATGCCAAACAGTATCTATAACTCTGAGTCAAGAACTTGATGATGGTGCCTGGCTACCAGTACAAAATGCCCTGAAAAGGATCTCATTTGAACTTTCCTATAGGAACAAAACACAGAGTTATTAAAGAGACCAAACTTACTACCATAGTCAGAAATTTTTGGAAACTTTGGACTATGAGCTGTGATCGTCCTTTGGGTGTAGAACTGAACTCATACTGTGGCTCTTTTCAAGCAACAATAGTAACAACATCCCAGCTGAAGTACAGTACATACTTCAGAATAATTAAGCATTTAGGATCCAGGTGGTAGCATTTTACTCAAGGACAAAATTCAAAAGAGTTAGCAAAGGGATGGGTGATGCTACTTTGGAGATTGAGGTGAATGAGATTAACACCAGAATGTGTATGGATTGCTAAATGTAAAACTGATTATCAAATAATACTTTTTAATCAGCAAGTACTAATTTTACCCAAATACTTCACACCCATTTACTGCATCCTCAGTGCCATTGTCTTTTGAATTCCTCTATGTTTCAAAATCTGTTACATCTCAAAGTTTATTCTTGATACTTTATATGGTATGTCTTTATTTTATCTTGTGCATAGATCTCTCTTTTCAAAGAAAATGACTATATTGTACTGTAACAGCAAAATCCTAACTCAGGAATCACTAGGCACCACTTTTGGACAACTTGAAAGAGGGAAAATTTATTAGCTGGTGACCCAGAGGAACTAGTGTTCTGAAAGATCTGGACCCTGAATGTTTTGGGGCTTCTTATACTTTATCTTCTTGAGCAAGTTCACAGAAGAGGACAAGGTCACAGAGGAGATGAAGGTCACAGAAGCAGAATAGGCAGGGCTTTATAGTGCAGATAAGGTCGTTAGTAAGGGGAGTCAGTAGGTGGGTGCCTTGCAGCAATGATGAAGTGCATGGGGTGTGACTGCCTTGGTTTCTTTTCCTAAGGTTAAAATCCCCTACTAAGATTTTCCATACAGTATGATATTTTAAATCCATTTCTACCTAGCAAGTTTTGAATAGGTTTCCATTAAATATGTGTGAGTGATTGATTTCGTTGCCACAACTGTAAGGAGACCCTTACAATTCTTAGCAATAGAAATGACTGGACAAGAATTAAACATGGTGGAAGGCATTTCATTGAGGGAATCGAAATAAGTTTGCAGCTGGGCTGTTATTACCCAATTCTATAGTACTTAGTCTGTAGCCATGGGAAGATGCAAAAAATTGCATCTACTTCCTATAGAATTTGGTTTTACTCTAGCTTGTTTTGTTGTTGTTATCTTTTACCACAGGTACTTCTCTCTCCAAGCCACACATCCTCTTGGATTTGATGATGTTGTGCGATTAGAAATTGAATCCAATATCTGCAGGGAAGGTGGGACACTCCCTAACTGTTTCACAACCCCATTACGTCAGGCCTGGACAACCATGGAAAAGGTAAACAAGAACTTCTACAAAAATTTTTTACTGGTGGAACCTAGGAACACATTACCATAGTATGAAAATATAACAGGGGGAAACAGAATATTAAATAATTGAAACAGTACGGTTCAGTGATTAAGAGTTTTAAATCTGCCTTGACCTTTAGTAAGATGAATTGTTTAAATTCAGCTATAGAAATTCTCTAATGCCATTTTTCTCATCTTAAAATGGGGATAATATGAATACTTACCTTAAAGTTATTTTGAAAATTAAAATGAAGCAATTTGTTTAAAAGTAAATTATGTGTGTTAAGTGTAGCAGTGTGAACCCATCAGATCCTCTGATGGAGTATGCTTTGGTAAAGATTTACAGCCTCAGAAACCCTCTGGAGCAGTTCTCTGTTTTATAGGGTTGCTATGACTTGGAATTGCCAGTGGGTTTGGTTTATGTGTAAAGTACCTACAAGGGGTATTCAATAAGTTAGTGGAAAATTGAATTAAAAGATAATGGAATGTTTCCACCAACTTTTTGAAGCCTCTTGTATATATTAATGTAGTACCTAGAGCATTATACACAATGAAAATTTTAACTGCTAATATTACTGCTAATTACATCTTTTTTTAGATAATTTGATGGCAGTTACCCCAAACAGAATCTGCTTGAAAGCTGTAGGTTTAGTTTTGGTTTTTAAGAAATGATCCAAATATTTAATAAATATTTGGAAATAAACATTTCCAAATATTTCATAAATACCCACCAACGGGATAGGAGTACTAGTTTTGTGTGTCATGATAGCTTATGAGAGATCATTCTTGTTAGTGTGGTTGTGGTGGTGTTCGTTGCCATCTAATCAATTCTGAATCATTGCAACTCAGCATGTAATGAGCAGAATGGTTCCATAAGGTTTTCAACTATGTCATCTTTCTGAAGCAAATTGCCTGCCTTGTTTTAAATGGCACCTTTGGGTAGATTTGAACTGTTAGCTTTTCAGCTGATATTTGAGCGATTAACCATTTGTTCCACCCTAGACACCACAAGATATTACTAATGGATTATAAGTAATAAAATGTTGAAGTTTGTGAATTATGTATTGTTTTACTGAACTAGAGTAGATTTAACAAGAGTTGCCCATGAGGTTACATTGATCGTGTATGTACAAATTGGGAAAAGTTTAAGCACTGTTATTGATGGAATACTATTTGAAATGTTTCAACAAACTTACATAATGCTAAAGCACTCATTAGTATATACCAAGAAACTTGGAAACAGCTGTCTGGCCAACTGCCTGGAACAGTTCCATATTTGTTCCTATCCCAAAGAAAGGTGATCCAGCAGAATACAAAAATTAACAAACAATATTGTTACTATTATGTACACATAACATTTTATTAAAGACAAGTCAGAATTGTTGCAGTAGTACATGACATGGAACTTCCAGGAACAGAAGCTAATTTCAGAAGAGGACATGGAATAAGTATTGTGAGATGAATCTTGCCTGAAAGTAGGGTATACCATATATTTTCTTTTATGTTTTATTAACTGTGCCAAAGCGTTCAACTATATGGATCAGAACAAATTAAGGAAAATATTGTGAAAATAGTTTTCTAGACTACTTCATTGTGTTCGTGCAGAACCTGTACATAGACGAACAGGCAGTCCTCCAAGCAGAATAAGGGGATAATGCATGTTTTCAAATCAGTGAAGTGTGGCAGGATTGTGTTCTTTACCCATACTTAGTCAAACTGTTACTGAGCAAATAGAGAAACTGGACTATGTGAAGAAGAATGGAGCATTGGGATCAGAGAATGGCTTATTAACAACCTGTAACATGCAGATGACACAACCTTCCTTGCCGAAGGGGAAGAGGACACGGAGTACTTACTGATGAATAGCAAAGACTACAGCTTTCAGCATGGATAACAACTCAGTGTAACAAAAGGCAAAATTTCTCAACTTAATAGACAACATCATGATAAATGGAGAAATAATTGAGGTCATCAGGATTTAATTTTGCTTGGATTCATTTTCATAATCAACATTCAAGGAAGCAAGAGTCCAGAATCAAAGAACTTACTCAATTGGGGAAATCTATTGCAAAATACTTTGAGTGCTAAAGACCATGCATGTGACTCTGAGGATTAAGGTGTGCCCGACCCAAATCATGGTATTTCTTAGTAGCCTCATATGCATGAGAAATCTGCATAATAAATAAAGAAGACTGCAGAAAATTGATGCATTTTAATTATGACATTGGCAAAGAATATTAATTGAAAGTATCATGGATGGCTAGAGCAAGCAAATATGTCTTGAATGAAGCACAAGTAGATTGCCCATAGAAGCAAGAAAAATGAGACATTGTCTCATGTACTGTGGACAAGTTATTAGGAGGGACTAATCCTTGAAATAGGAAATTATGCTTGGTAAAGTAGAGGTGAGTGAAAAAGAGGAAACCCCCTCAATGAGATGGAATGATCGTGGCTGCAAAAATGGGCTTTAATGTAATTGTGAGGGTGGCACAGGACTTAGCAGTGTTTCATTTTGGTGTACAGTTAAATCCTATGGGTCAGAACAGACTCTAACAACAATATTATACCATATAAAACTGAACTCTAGACATATTGAAGAGTTATATGTAGCACTCAGATATTGGAAAGCTAGCAGTAAATAGTATAGAGTATCACCTATTACAGATATTCATATTTCCATGATTAAAATTTAAACCTTTATGATTATAGAAGGAAAGTTCTACATATGTTTTATCTAGATTATATGTTTTATAATACATAAACAGAATGTAAGCCTTCTGTATATTAAAATATAAAACAAAAATATAAAAGCATACCTTATTTACTGTATGTTAAATAACGAACTTACTCTAATAAGAACAGTATCAAGATCCAGGTAGATAAATAAGAAGAAGAAGTGAATAATCCATTCATTAAAAGCTTGAGTAGTATATATTTACTGGGTATTGATGTTAATGGTGATACAAAGAAACAGGGCTTCTGCCTTTCTGGGGCTTAATCTTTAGAGGAAAACACATATTAAATATGTACATAAATACTTACAATTGTGAGAACTGCTATAAAGAAAAAGCCTGTAATGGGAAAGCAAGTAATTAACCTGGGAACTTAATGCTTTTTTAAGGTAAGTGAAAATATTCAGGTACTATTCAACATTTATGTATTGATTTCAAAAATCGCAGTGCAGGGTTAGAAAAGCCTGAATGGGAATACGTACCTCTATATATTGCAATCATTTAGGGGATGAATTGACCATATCCATCAAAGCTAAAAATGTTTGTTCCATTTTTCTTAGTAATCACATTTTTTGTCATTTATCTAATGAGATCAATTCAGAAATAAAAATATATGTACAAAGACTTTGAATAGATACACAGATCAGATAAATCACGTGTTACAGAGTTCCTTGAGGGTGGCTAATAAATGTCCAAAAGGCTTGCCACTCCTCTCTAAGCTTCAAGTTCGTGTCATGGGCCAGCAAACCCACCCTACTACACAAGTCAGCCTCCTAGCAAAAAGCACTTAGCTTTACTTGCTCTCTGAGCTGGGAAATCCACTGCTCTGGCTCTTGGTTTTTCTGCTGCTGCTCCTCTGCCATTCAAATGCCAAAGCTGTCTTCTAATCAAGGAAGTGCACTACATAGTGATCTTGGGGCCCAGTAGATCTGCTCCACTCCTGACTCTTTGCAAGAGTGAAATCTTTCTCCAGTTCTACTTCTGAGATGGCTTATTTTATATGCAACAGGATGTAAGTCACAATATTATTAACAAGCACTCACAAGTGAATCCTATAAGTGTCTTCCTCCACCTTCTGTGACCCAGACCCATCAGGAAAAGATCATTTGGTGGATATAGAGACTTTGGCCAGAAGACCCACACCAAGAAATTCATTACCTTGCAAAATGTAACAAGGAGAACTGAAGGCATTTTTACTAACTGGTAAAATTGATTTATTTTCAAATAATTCTTAGTTGTATCTGATTTTGACTTTAAAATAATGCTTATCCTCTTTTTCAGGTCTTTTTGCCTGGCTTTTTGTCCAGCAACCTTTATTATAAGTATTTGAATGATCTCATCCATTCAGTTCGAGGAGATGAATTTTTGGGTGGGCACATTTCATTGACTTCTTATGGCTCTGTTAGCCCTCCTGATGAGTCTCACCCAGGTGGTTCCAGCTCATCTTCTCAGGTATTGACTGATATGGTATGTTAGTCTGGGTAGACTAGAGAAACAAATTCATGGACACTCATGTGTATAGGTAAGAGCTTTATATAAAGAGTAATTAAACATTAAGAAAACATCCCATCAAGACCATAAGTCCGATATTAACCCATATGTCTAGTACCAGTCTAAATTCCTTTTCAGATTCACACAACACATGCAATGACGCAGAATGCAGGAAGATCACAGGCCTGTGGGTGGAAATTCTTGTGGATTCAGTGGCAGTGGAAACATCTCAGCACTGGTGTGGGTTTCCACGTGGCTCTTCCAGCTCCATGGCTCTGGCTGTCATCAGCATAGCACCATGTGGCTTGTCAACAGGAATAACTCTCAGGGAGTGTGTGTGTGTCCCGCCTCCAGCGAGCTATTAACTCTGTAGCACCTCCAAATGAGGTTATCAAGCAGTGACCTGATTGACAAGCTAAACTCCACCCCTTCACTCTAAATAGTCTCAAGTTGGCACCAAATTATGTAACTACCACATATGATTATATCAGTAAGATGGAAAGCATTCGATTCTTTTCATACAAGTATCAGAAACTGATCCTGTTAGTTAAGTAGAAGAAATAAAAATTAACCTATGTTCTGTATGATAATCAGAGTTTTAGGGAAAACAACAATATATTATACGGGTATCATGCTGTTTCATTCTAGCCATTATTGTGTTTGATTCTGTAATTGTTGCTCTTAGTAATTAGATCATTTGAAATACATTTGTAGCAACTGAGGAAGTGCTCTTTGTGTGATTGATTATTTGAAAATAACTAAGTTTGGTATGCTTTCATGGAATAAATTGATGAACTTAGTTTTCTTAGTATTTCACTAAAGAACCTTTGATTTCATTTTGAACTCTAGTGCCACATTGTGCATTTTTAAAAATTTATCTTTTTGGACTGATTTTATGTACCAGGAATCCTGGTGACTTAGTAGATTACATGTTGGACTGCTATGCACAAGAAAGCGGAGGCTTTCTACTTCACAGTAGAAAGAATTACAGTCTTAGAAACTCACAGGGTCAGTTCTACCTTATTCAGTAGAGTTCACCATGAGTCAGAATTGACTCCATGGTAGTGAATTTAGTTTTTTTGTTTGTTGTTTTTAATCATTTTATATGGTGCTCTTACAGCTCTTAGAGCATTCCATATATCAATCCTATCAAGCATATTTGTACATATGTTGCCATCATCATTTCCAAAACATTTTCTACTTGAGCCCTTGGTGTAAGCCCCTATTTTTCCCCACCTCCCTCCCACAACTTCCCGCTCTCATGAATCCTTGATAAATTATATATTATTATTATTATTTTGTATATTTTAAAGTCTATTCTCCCTTCACCCACATTTCTGTTATTCATCTCCTTAATGGAGGGGGGCTATATATCCAACCTTGGGATGGGTTCCCCCTTTTTCCCTTTTCCCCCTCCCCGACTATCCTCCTACCCTCCTGATATCTCTACTCCTATTACTGTTCCTGGGGGGGTTTATCTGTCCTGAATTCCAAGTGTCAAGAACTCTTAACTGTACCAATGTGTGTTCTCCAGGGGGTGAAGGGGGGTAAGCATTCAGGAACTAGAGGAATTATGTGTGATTCATCAGTGCCATACTACACCTTGGTTCAATCATCCCTTCCTTATAACCCTTCTGTGGGGGGATATCCAATTGTCTACAGATGGGCTTTGGGTCTCCACTCTAACCCCCCTCGTTCACATTGAAATAGCTGTTTGTTTTGGATTTTTTGATACCTGATCCTGTTGACACCTCATGATCACACCGGCTGGCGTGCTTCTTCCATTTGGGCTTATTTGCTTCCCTGCTAGATGGCTGCTTGTTTAACTTCAAGCCTTTAAGTCCCCAGTCACTATATCTTTTGGTGGCTGGGAACCATCCTCTCTCTTCACCACGTTTGCTTATGCACCCATTTTGTCTTCAGTAACCATGTCGGGAAGGTGAGTATCAAAGAGTGCCAGGTTATCAGAACAAAGTGTTCTTGTGTTAAGGGAGGCCTTAAGTAGAGGCCCAAAGTCCGTGTGCTATCTTAATATTTAACATATAAATATATGTACATTGGCCTTTATACCTTTCATTATAAATTAATATATTTACATATATACATGTCTATAGCTATACCTCTATAAATAGCTTTGCCTCCTATTTCTTTCCTCTATTTCCTTTCACCTTCCTTTATCCCACTATCATATTCACCCTCCATTCGGCTCTCAGTATTTCCTCTTTGATAAATTGCTCTTGATCAAACCCCACCAAGAATTATATGCCCTCCTCGCCATCAATTTTAGATTTCTTGTTGTTCCCTTATCTCTGAGTTTGTTGGCTCCCCTCTCCTCTCCCATGGCCCCCCAAACAACTGGTCCCATTGTTTTCTCATTGGGATTGTTCATCCTGCCCATCTTATGTGGATAGTCATTGGGTGAAAGATAAACAAAAACAAGCAAATAAAAACCAACAGAAAACAAGAAAAAAACCCAATAGAAAGTTCCAGGTCTGTCTGCTGACCCTTAGGTGTGTTTTCTGATCAAGTCTGATAGGTGCCAAGGCCGGTCTCCCAGGTCAGAAGTATATTTTCAGGATTCCTCGGGGACTTGGTTGCTTTGCTCCTCTTTTGCTGCCCTGTTGCACTCCCTTCACATAACACCCCGCTGTGCATGGGGCAGACTGCGTACTTTCCAAATGGTGTCTCCAGTGCTGTCCCCTGTAGTGCTATGGGTCAGTGAGGGAATGTCGTGTCTCATGTGGGGCCAGCCCTATGGTCCTGTCAGTGCAGGGATGTCATCCTTGGGGCTTGGTCAGCCATGATGAGGTTCTCTGTCTCTCTGTCTCTCTCTCACACCTTTCTCCCTCTTAGTTTGCTCCTGTGTTGTATGGACAGACCCACCTCTCTCCCTGGGCTATATCTTCAGTGCTGTCCTCTGTACTGCCTTCTTCTGGGGAGGGAGTCAACATAGCTTAGATTGGGTCTGGCCCTGTCATCTTCTCTGTTATTTCGCTGTTCCATGCCAGTGTACTGTCTTCAAAGATTTGCACTTTATGATGGGGTCTGGTCCCTCTCTCCCTTAACTGTGGAGACATAAACAGTACCCTTCCTGTGGGTTGATTAGTGCCCTGTTCCCAAGACCCTCGTTTTTCTTTTTTTTCTTTCCTCTCCCTTTCTTTCCAGCTGCTTTTTAGTTGGCTCCCAAATGCATCCTTGAGTTGGGTCAGACCCTGCCAAAGTGTTTGGACCTTGACCCGGGATGTATGCATTAAGTAGCTTCTCCTCTATGCTTATTGTACTTTTTGAGCCTCAGTGGACTCATGTTCTACTTGTTCCTTTGTACTTGGCTAACATCGCTTAGCATAATTTCCTCCAACTCTTCCCATGAGACAATGTGCTTCATGCATTCATCACTGCTTTTGATGGCTGCATAGTACTCCTTTGTAGGTATATATCAGAGTTTTTTTTATCCATTCTTCAGTTGATGGAAATTTAGATTGTTTCCAGGTCTTCACAATTGTGAACTGCGCAGCAATGAGCATTGGAAATGTCTGGTCTTGGTCTGTTTCTTACTTCCTCTGTGTATATGTCCGGTAGGGGAATTGCTGGATCATATGCTAGCTCGATTTTCATTTGTTTTAGGTATCACCAGATTGATTTCCATCGTGGTTGCAAGTATCTAGAGGACCACCAGCAGTGGATGAGATTTCCTATCTTATCACATCCTCCCTAGCACTTGTTGCTTTCTGATTTTTTGAATTGGGCTATTTTTGAGGGTGTTAGGTAGTCGTTTTAATTTGAATTTCCCTTATGGCTAATGATGGGGAACATCTTCTCATATGTTTATTGGCCATTTGGATTTCCGTCCTTGTGAAACTTCTGTTCAGGTCTTTTGCCCTCTTCTTTAGTGGGCTCTTTGTTTTTTTCTTGTTGTTGGTTAGGTACATTTTGGTTGGTATTGTACATTTTAGTAATAAGCTCTTTGGCTATTGTGTCATTACTAAAGATATTTTCGCAGTGTGTGTGCTCTCTTCTTACTCTCTTGGCAAAGTCTTTCACTGTGCATTGGTGTGTTATCTTCAGTATGTATATTCCACTTGTCAATCTGTGCCTCCTCTGTGTTTGTGTTCTTCCTTATTTCTAATAGTCTCTGTATTCACTGCACCAGGTTCTTAGGTTTGTCCCAATTCCCTTCTTGATGGCCCAAATAGTTTGGGGTTTTACTTCCAGGTCTGGTATCTACCCGTTTTTTATTCTTTGGCATGGAGTGAGATAAGGGTCTTCCTTCATTTTTCTGCAGGTAGTTATCCATATTTTCCAACACCACTTGCTGAAGAGGGTGTCCAATTCCCATTCGATATTTTGGAAGCCCTTATTGCAGATCAGTTGTCTGTATGCTGATGTTTTTATTTCTGGACTTTCTGTTCTTTTCCATTGGTCAGAGTCTCTCATTATACCAATACCATGCTGTGCCTTGGATAGGATTGACATCTTTACTATACTGAGTCTTCTGATCCACGAGCATGGGATATTCTTCCATTTGTGGAGGTCACTTTTCTTTTCTTATAATATTGTTATAGTTTTCTTTGTACAAATCTTTTGGCAGGAAGCGCAGGTGAAAAAAAATTGTTCTCAAAGCTTTGAGAACAATTTTTTTTCACCTGAGCTTCCTGCCTATCACAAGAACTTTATACTTTCAGCTTTCATACTTATGCCTTTCATCCATTTTTTTACTTGGTTTTTATGTTAGATACAGCTCTTGTTTAATTTTTCTGTAAAATAGACTCCCATTTTTACTAGTACCTTTTATGGAAGAAACTATGTCTTCTCTCACCAAATGGTCGTAAACAACTTTTGAAAAATCAGCATCCCATAGCTGGATGGGTTTCCTTTTGATTCTCAGTTCTTTTTCATTGATCTACGGTTTCTGTCATTGACCTAGTACCAGGCTATTTTGATTACTATAACTGTATAGTATA